TCTAGGGTTCGAATCCCGACGGTGACTCACTTTCAACACTAAATAGCTTGGTCAAATGCAGCTGGTATTTGGAGGAGAATGATAGCCGCAGGTTCGTCAGATCGGGAGTTTTCCGTGGTTTTTTTTATCAACACGAGGCGAATGTTGGAGTACGTACCTTAACAAACGACCCACGGACCGCACGTGATATTTCCTTTCATTTTTTTGCGCTTTCCTTAGCCCTTACGTACACAATATTTCACGTACTACATTACCGCAAATGCCAGGTGCTTAGAACTTCTCCCTGATAGAGACAAGGCCTGAAATATTAATCAATCAACTAATCAATACAGGAAGATATAATTTAGGAAGATGCATTTCGCGATTGTTATTCGCTTACGTCTGCAAACAAAGAACTGCGGGACTCCCGAGAAGTCTGGTAGTGTAGTGCGTGAAAGAGTGTGTATTTAAGGCGGATGGTTGACGAACAAAAGATAACGTGTGATCAGTGGTCCATTTCTTAAAGTACCACTCCGGCATTCGCCTGGTACTGATCGCAGGAAACATAAAAAACAGTAGTTCAGAAAAGCGGACCACTAGAATTCCTTCCCAGACAACAGCAGAATTCGACCTAGTTAGAGTATGGCTAGTGTCGAAAATCCGCCTCCATCGAGACTCGAACCCTAGAACAGACCAGTGGCGTAACGTTCGGGCCCCCAAGACCTGCAGGCCCAGGTAAGAGGTTTTTAGTCTGAAGGTTTTTCGGTTGAAAGAAGTATTAGTTACCTGATTCTTTCTCTGATAATTTGCGATAGTTGATACAATAAAATATTAAAAACAGCATCTTCCTGAAGAATGATTTTTTTAGCTTTGGTGCCTTATGTAATCCTGTTTCTAAATCGATAAAGGAATGTAATTCATTTAGGTTTTATAACAATTTTAATTTCATAAAACTAAACAATAAAAGCAGATGTTTTCACTATTGGTTATAAGCAATTTACCACTTTACCATAAACACGGCACAGTGTCTTTCGACTGTTATTGTTTGGATTTGAAATTTGCCATCTTATGTGATAACGCTCAGACGAGAGCTTTATCCACCAACAACGCTTTTCAATAAACAGCAGTTAGAGTTATGGAGTAGATAGCATCGTCTTGACTTGAAACGCTTTATTTAATGCTTCAGTTATTGGGATTTGAATGAGATTATGCGTCGCTGAACAAACGCCCGGATAAACGGGCCCCCTTCCTTCAAAAATATTCACAATATTAATTTTATAGGAAGTTCAGATAAAAGTTTTGCTGGCGAGCTTGCATTCACATGCTACTGCGTAGGACCTTCCCGTCAGAAACTTCGCTGTGTCAGTAGTTGTTCGTCTGAGCCATCTCAGCGGTAAAAACATAATTTTCTCCAAAATACTGTTACAATACTTTTAAATAGATGTATTTTATCTGTATATAAAGGTATATTTAAAGACATTTTGAATAGAAGTTTACATCTACATTGAGTTCATGTTTATAACGATTTTTCTGAATGAGTGAATTGGCTTTTTATCTGAAATACACACACTTATCAGGCTGTACCGCTATTCAAAACACCGCTAAAACCTCTTAGTAACAGCTATCGACACACAAACAATGATAAAACAGCTACTAAACAATAACAAAATAAATTGTTCGAAGATTAGGTAATGGATAGCTAGTAGGATTAGCTAATGGAAGTGCTGTAGATAAGCTGAAATTACTTAATCAATTGGAAGCCCATCAGCCGGTGACCAAAATACACAAACCGTAATAATATTTTCTCCATTACTTGTCAGTACATGAAATTTGTATCAATTACACATCATCTCTTACATTAAAATCATTATCGCATGTCATCGTGGTAAAGTTGCTGTAATGAGCCATGAACTATGGACGTCCCGAGAGAATTTCTGATCTTCGTAGGTAATTTCAAAATGATTTGTTTATACTTGTACAGACACTAGTAAAAGCAGATCTTTCAAGGCATACTTAGCGTACCAAATGTTAAATTTTTATCACTAGTGCTCAAAGTAAGTCGATATTCAAGTGTTCATATAAATCTATGAATGAACAAGGAAAACAACTTTCTTTTGATCGAATCAGCTACTACTGACCTTAATGTTAACATTAAGTGATTTGTATACTTCAATTAAAATAGTGTATCTCACACATGGTAAGTAAATTTATTTCGCTCTTGGGATTATACCACTCGGTCTATCCGCCTCATGTCGCAACCTTTTCGTTCTCGCAAAATAAAATGTCACTTAAAATACCACTCGTATAATAAATGACTATTTCGTACCCTCACCACTATTGCCGTACTTTGTGGAGTGTTTTTTTTAATGGTTGGTATTCATTATATTTGATTCTGGCCTTTTGATTCCATCGAGAATCGGAAGCAAAGAAATCGAATATCGATTCCACAGGAATCGAAAGAAAAGAATCGATTCCAAAATCGAATTGGTCGAATAGGAAGCGGGAGGTGAGGAAGGGGCAAGGGGGCAGTGAAGGTGATTCCGGGCGCACCAAGCCGCTAAGGTCATTAATCCCGTAACTCGTAACTGTAGTGCATGTTTTCATCCCGAGAGGTGGCAGTGATGTTGCCCTGCTTGCTGGCGAGATACAACGCTGACTTACGTCATTTGCGGAAATATTTCTCAACCAGGTATCTGCTCCTAGCGGGGCACCGTCCCAGCCGGGAGACCTCTCAGCTCCCGACCGGTCTTCCGACAAGTCTAATAGTGTAGTGCATGTGTGTGTGTAGGTGTAAGTAAGTAAGCGGCGAGGATAGGATAAGGAAGGGGAAGGAAAGATCACGCGCGACCCGCAGGTAGGGTACTGCTCATTCGCCTGGTGATCGGAGAAACCACCGAAAAACACCTATCAGAGCGCTAGAATTCTCCTCCAGACAGTGACAGAAATTCACCTAGACATCTAGCTACTATCGAAAATTATGGCACCGTCGGGACTCGAAACGTTGGTCAGAGGCCTCTCTTGGAGCCCACAGGGAGTGGCGAGGGGACGGCGAAGCGTCCACCAACGAATTTCGAGTGCTCAGCTGGCGCCATCGATCGGCGTCTGCGGCTGGGGCAGGACACGTCAAGATGGAGCCCTCTAGGGCAGTGGGCCATCAGGCACCCTCCGCCGCGCCGCGCCGCGACGGCCTGTTTCACCAGCGAGCGGGTGACGAGGGCGCTAAGGGGCAGCGGGCGCGAGGCAGGTCGCGGGTGACGAAAACAAGAGAGTGGCGCGACCTCGTCGCTAAGGGGATGGCAAGGAATTTTGAGAGCTTTCGATGCGCGTGACATCTGGGCAGAGAGACCACGGGGTGCTGGCGTGGTGGTATAACTGATGAGGGAGACTGAACGAGGTCTCAAAAATAGCAACTTCGTAGCCCCGACTTCGGGACAGCCTCTTCACATAATACATTGTACATTTTATGTAAGAAAGCACACAAACGAATAAATGAAACCAAGAATTAACGCAGGCACTACAAATTTCTGGGCGATTATAATACCCAGCTCGCATTTCACTATCTGATGTTTTGTGAATAGCGATATGCGGTATCCTGCGCTTGGGCAGTGTAATGTTCGTCGAGTGCACAGATTTCTCATGCTACTCTAGCATTACACGTAAGGAAAAAGCCAACTACTTACAACTAAGCAGTGCGTGAATTGTCACACGACGTCATTTCGTACATCGGATGGTCTGTTTCGAAAGACGTGGGTGCGGGGAAGGTAAATATTCGATGCAAACGGAGCCTGACAGTTTCTTAGAAGGATCCAACCTAAAGGACTGAGAGTTTTTATCTTCACGTTGTACTCTGATTTACGATTTAATTGGATGTAGTCTATGCCAAAGTATGGTCTTCACCGCGCAGTGGTGGTCTTGAAAACTATTTAAAAAATGTAATTGAGGAAATTAAGAATTTCAACACTCTCTCTGTTTCGAAGAAAAGTGATATTGGACTTCGCAAATGCACTAGCAAATTTTAAATTTGGGATATTTCTAGACAACTATTTAAAGTACACAAATTATAAGAAAGGAGTACATTTTGGTTTGCTATGACTAAACTCTAATGTACGTTCTTATCATTGCTCGAATCGAACCCTGTAGTATATTAATTCTCGCTGGAGCATGTAGTGGAACAAAGTATAAGACACAATCATTTTCTCATAATGTTCGCTAATTATTCAAGTAAGTTATAAGACACCACTAATAATATTATAGTTATTTTAGATGTGTTCTTTTTCATAACATATGTACTTTCGAAACTTCGTTTGAATCGTTGTATTTCTTGTGGTCATATGTGACCCAACGTGCCTCACATGGTTCATTTTTTTATATTTCTCAGCAAGTTCTTGGTTCCTCTAAATCTACTGCTGAAAAAGTGAGTGCGAAGATAAAAACATATCTGGCGGTAAAAATGCATAAGAGAGCTGAAAAATTGATGGGAAAAGGAAGTAGAATGTAGAGAAAAATGAAAGAAAAGGAGACTGTAGCACTGTTGGAAAAGCATGGAAAGCGTAAAATAACATAATAATAAAAGAAAATGCCGTGGAGACGGTTAAAAAAGTAGAAGCAGAAGGATGATTACATAAGATAGATGAAAGAAGAATAAAGAGAAGAAAAATGTGAAATAGGGAAGTCAAAAATAGGGAAGAAGGGGGAAAACGCACAGGAGGGGAAGGGACAAATCAAATTATTTATTTTTTAAATTTAAATGACGGTTTATGACGTCCCGTAAAAGACACGTGAAGAGAGAAAGAGCAAGAGCAAGAGGGAGTGGAACAGGGCCATGCTCAGAGAACGTCCAGCGATGCAGAAGCAACCAGCAACGCACTGGTGAGAATCAGAAGAGCGTAAGATCTACAAAGAGGTCGCGGTGGACGGTGATGAGGCGGCATGGCAATTGCGGGGGCGGGGGAATAGTGGTGTAGGCCGCGGCAGAGTTGATGACGCCGGTGGCAGCAGGGACGGTGGTGAGGGGAGCGGCAATGACGACGGCTGGTAGGGCGCTGGCGGCGGTGACAGTGGCAGCAGCGGCGGCGTCCTTCAGAAAGAGCCCTACTCAGTGCTCCGCCGCCACCGCCGTACGACCATGTAGCGCATAATGAGACAAGAGAGAGGGCCTCTGGAAATCGATGCACGCAATCTGGCAGCCCTCTCGCCCCGCCCACTCCCCTCATTCCCAGTCCTCCATTCACCGCTATCGTCCTCTTCCCTGCCACGTCCCCGCCCTCCCAATTCGTCGCTTAGACTCGCACCAATCCCCTGAATTAGAGAGAATGCCGAACCGGACATTGTCAGAATTAACGTTTCAGCTTCTTTAAAGAATTAACTTATAACATCTATAAAATCAAAAATTGGAACGGTTGATTTTAGTTTTTGTCCCTATAGTGGGGTATATTGGAGTCAACAATACGATCTCGAATTTTAGGCCGTGAGATGTGTGTTCTTTGAAGCTGTAACTTCGCACACAAGTCACGCTTACGTTCTATTAGAGACGTTTCATAATTGGGTGATGAAGAAATACACGCAAAATTCTATCCGAAAATCAGTATATATATATATATATATATATATATATATATATATATATATATATATATACACACATATGTGTGTGTGTCTGTGTGTATGGATGAATGAATAAAAATATTCTTGAAATTAATTGCAACTTCTTTCTTTTCAATTTTTTCTCTAATTGAAGTAATAGTTTATAAAAATGAAATAGTTCTGATTTTCATTCAAAGCTATGACATTTTGAATATAGACAGTTTCAAATTTATTTTTGAATCTCTTCTATACCTCCATTATTAAAACAGGAGATATTTCTCAATGCAATTTATTTATCAATTTTAGATCTTTAAACGTTGTCATGTGCTCTTTTTTAAATATGAATATTTATTATGATAATAAGATGATGAAAAGCTTTAGTATACCGCGCAGTACAATAGTTTTTCTGGCATTGTTCAATAGATTATTTCTATCTATTAAATGGCATACACATACATACTGTCAATTCATACATCCTTTCCATCCTTTTCTAGTTATCGCTGTTTGCTTAGAATGACGCGGCACAAATTCGATGTATTCAAACACCTAAATGTTTCCCTACATACAACTGATATGCATGGCAATTACTTATACTCATATTATGCAGTTTGCTTCACTCTATTTCACCTTATAGATATAAATATCTCAGATAATCTAGTAATTTGAGGTTACCCAGTCTTTTAACTATGAGGCAAGTTTGTACCACATTTGCCAGTAATCCTTTCTTGAAGCAAGACCCTTCTAAATGATTCAGTTACATTTTTTCCAAATTTAGTATGCTCTTATCTCAGGATAAGACAGTTCTACTTCTAATTGGTGAAATACACTGAAAACATAGTCTAGACTACAAAGATGGATGTTCAGTAGGAAATGCGTTAATAATGGTAAGTGTAATTAGTAGAAATGTCTTCTGGGTATTAGCATGGTGTCAGAATATAGAGAAGTAATATACATTCTATTACAGGTGAATTATTGCATGGTAAACGTCATTGCTAGACTGTCAACAATTCGATTTGAGGTGTTAGCGATGTCATCAGAGAGAGAGAGAGAGAGAGTACGGAGTTGCTCTACAGCTGTCGCCGTTTCTCTGCTCTTAGTCTCCATGCCTCTGTATTTGACCATTGCATTTTTCTTGCCGTCATAGCCTCTTCCACTCCTTTCTGCCACGCACGTCTGGGTCTTCCTCTCTTCTTTCTGTCGGCATCCATTGAAGGACTCGTTTTGGCCGTTTCATCTGTCATTCGTATAACATGACCGTACCAGACGATTTGTTTTTTTTGTCTATTTCGTCAACGATAGATTTATGTACATCCATTTTCTTTCTTATGTTGTCGTTCCTGATTCGTTCACGTCATCTATAACAGCAACTTCTACGCCAGTAGTCCATTTCAAGGGCCAGCAGCTTCCCCTTTGTTCTTTTATCAATCTCCCAAACTTCTGAACCGTATGTTGTAACACACTTAACTAATGAGGTGTAAAGACGTCTTTTCGTAGTGTTAGTGATGGTTTTGTTCCATAAGACAGAGTTTATACTTCGTGTCACATTTCTCCCCAAGCTTATTCGTCCCTCAATTTCTTCTTGGCTATTTCCCTTAGTGTTAAAAAGTACACAAAGGTATTTATATTTTTCACTCCTTTCATTTTTCCTCCATTTTCCAGAGGAAGATCTTTTATCTCGTTGTTACCAACTGCCAGGTATTCAGATTTGTTCACGTTAATATTAAGCCCTGCCTTTACCAAGTTTCCATTGAGTTTACGGATCATAAAACTCAAATCGTCCGCATCTTCTGCAATTACTATCTATCGGCAAAATATAATGTATACAATTTTCCTCTCCTTTTTCTCTCGTCTATAAGTTGTTTTAATGTAAATACGTGTATATTGTCTCTGACACATCTACCGGCAGTAAAACCACATTATTCCTCTCCTATCTTTCCTTTTATCTCTTCTTCTATTTTATTTCGTATTAATTTGTTTTACAGTCTACCTATAGATCCAATATCTGCTATTCATCTGTATTTTGTTTCATTGTCTCTAGAACCTTTCTTATGGATCGGTGTTAGGTAGGACGTTCGCCACTCCTGAGGAAGATCTTCTCCATTTATGCACCTTAAAAACATGTTTGATCATTTGGTGCAGTTTATATTTCAGCAGACCATATTTCAGTAATTCTGCCGGTATATCTCCCGGACCAGGTAACTTATTGGATTTCATGGTCTTAAGTGCTTTTTCTAAATCTTTAATTGTCAGATCTACCCTAAGCTCAAATTTCACTTCCTAGTGTGACTGGAAGTTTCTCGTTTCTAGCAGCAGTTTTCCGAAATACTCTTTCCATTTATTGATTCTAATGTTTGATAATGCGGTATGTTTTTTTTCATTCGATTTAATTACTTTCCAGGCTTCTGAGCTCCGTGTTCCACCTATGAATTCTTCTATATAATCGCATTTATCCAGCCACAATGTATTCTTCCTTGATAACATTTGTTTTACTTCTCTACTTATTACTTTGTACCGTAAATTAGTTTCAGTTTTTGTCACTAAGCCACTTCTAATACAGGTCTCTTTTCCTCTTAATATTTTCTTCTAAACTTGTGTCCCACCAATACTGTTTTGGTTTTAATTTACAAGAACCTAAAGCCTCCTCTGCGGCTTGGTGAATACATTCTTTTATGTGTTCATATTCTTTTTCTATTGTCCTGTGGTTAACCAATAGTTTAGTTTCAAGTCTTTTTCTGTAGAGATATGCCGTACTTTCATCGAAGCGACTGCTTAATTTGTATTTGGTAGGTTTCATGACAAGTCTCTCTTTATCTTCTTTATTCGTGCTATTCGATGTAAATGGTATGAATATTTTAGCAATTGCCAAACAATGATCGTTACATTCGGCTCTCCGTTTCACTCTAACATCATGTACTTTGAGACAAGATTTTTTCTTAGTTACACAGAGATCTATTATAGATTTAGTAGTTTTGTATGTTGATACCAGGTGTACTTATTAATATCTTAATGTTGGAAGAAAGTGTTATTAATGTTTATTTCATCTTCACACACATTAATAAGTCTTTTTCCATTGCCATTGCGAGTTTCCTCACCATGTTGACCCACAATTCTGTTGTTCTTGTCTCTTCCAACTCTGCCGTTAAAATCTCCTGCAAATATTATATCAGGGGACTTTAAATACCGTCATTGGAGCATCATCATTCAAATTATATATTCCTATGACACTTATGTATTTTCCTCTGATTTTTAACACTACTTTAATAAGACGTTCGTTTATATACTCCCAACTTTTTATACATTTACCGAATCTTTTACCAATAACATTGGAAATTCCGGCTTTGGCAATTTCATGTTTGTTTACACCATTGTAAAAGTGCCTAAAGTGGTTCAGTGTTTCGCTTCCCTTGCCTTTCCTTTTTGTTTCAGACCAGACGGCTGTATCTATGTTTCATCTCATCATTTCCTAGATTACTTCTTGTTGTTTGTTTGATATGCTTTGTACATTGGATATACCAATATTCAGAGTGCATTTTCTTGGCAAATATCGTTTCCCCTTTGAAATATCCGAGGCATTCCTATGACTGAGGTTTTGAGTGGTGTGATATTTTACGTGTGCACGATGCTGACCTACAGCACAACCTCCAAACCTGGAGGACCAGCGCTTTTATTTCAGGAGTTTCCATCCCTTAGGCTGATTGCTTCCACAATAGCTTAAAGAGTGTAGCCCACCCCTTATCCGCTCACTAGGGATGAATTAATTCCCAAGGTGAGTGAATCCCACCTTCCCCTGTTGGATCATGCACCATTCATACTTGGATGCTTCTGGTGTGCTACCCGCGTAAGGCCTGTCAACTGCACTCTAAAAAATAAGGAAGAAAGATGAGGAACTAATCCCCAGCCCTCGAAACCTAATAGCATGGGGGTCATAAAAAAACAAGAGTTGACCAAGGGAGGCCGATAGAATAGATGAAAGCATTGTGGCACAAGAAAGTTAAAGATGTCACAATGGTGGATGAAGGAATCATAATGATATGAACACATCGTAATGGGGGAAGGACAAAAAGATAGGAAAGAATGCACGGTTAAGATTGAGATGGATAGGACGTGGTAGGACAAAACTTAAGTCTGGCACACAAGCACACAACCCTCCCCGCCCACACGGACAGTGCTACTTCAAGGCGCTGGCCCCAGAGGAGGTCTCATCAGACAACGAAGCCATTAATAAGAAGGCCATGTCTTTATTTGCTGATACACCTGCAGTGAAAACAAAGAATGGTCATCCAAAAGATGAAACCAGACATTATATTATGTACTAGATACAGTGATTTTATTCAAGCGTATTCACAAAAACTGATTAAACAAACCAAATCAAAATTTCTGATTACCTGAATTCAATAATCCAGCAATATATCAAGTTGCAAGGTTCTCAAAATCAGACATTTAAAGCTAGTAAAGGAGCTCAAAGTCAGAATCCTTCAGAGACAAGTGTTTCCTCCAACGAATGAAATATATATTTTAAACAGAAAGAGCCGTGAATACAAACAAGCTAAGCTTCTTCCACTTCCAAGTTGTGCTCAGTTTCTGAAACAAAAAGACGTCTGCTTCCTGTGAGCGTTGCCTGAACAAGAGTTCAGGAAATTAAAAATATTCAAACCAGAAAACAAATCTCCTGCTAAAAGCGCGACTGAAAATGACGAACGTTCACCTTCCCATACAAGGAAGGGAAACTAGACACATAAAAGCTCCAACTTCTCATTTTCTTTCCTCAACATAAAACAGAGATGAAACTTTTAAAATATGACAATGAAAATTAAAAATAATGGTGCTACAGAATGGTACAGACTTTGCACTTTAGCATAGAATCGATATATCTCAATGTCTTCGTTGTGAC